TGAATGGAGCACTGGGTGTTATACACAAACAATGAATCATGGAACACTACATCAAAAACTAATGATGTAATGTATGGTGATTAACATAACATAATAAAATTTAAAAAAAAAAGATCTCATTGGTACCACTAAATGGCCTTGACTTTTAAAAACCGTATAATACTTAACATGGTCCCAGAAGCCACTGTATCATGAAAACTTGAAAAAGAAAAATCACTTCAAGGGCCATCCGGTGAAATAGGCTGCATCCAGCAGGTCATTTTCCAACACGTGTGTGCCAGAGACTCGCTATCAGATTATCTGATCGGGGGAATGTCACCCCCCCACAAGGTTCTCTAATATATAAAAGTAATCTGCTTCACTGTTTAATTATCCCTGTGGGCTTATTAGCTCGCCCTCAAAGAAGGTGTCACGTGTAAAGAGGTTGGCTTTATTGTCAACCTACTATTACTATTTTGTTATACTATACTCTTTCTAACCTAGGGAAAATCACTTTGTCCCTCTAAACCGGTAATTTAAGAAAGTTGAAGATGACACCCATGGTCTCTGATGTGGCCCATGACCATGACCATCACAAAGACGATGCTAACAACTTGGCCCAGAACCCAGTTCATGTACTTCAAATCATTGGGATTTCTTTCAGGAGATTTCCTAATTTCACCTTTTATAAAACAAATGCCACCCTTTGCATCAGCTTTGTTTCTAAAGTGTTTCTGAGGGTGGTTTCATAGTTACTCTCCTGGACTGAGAGACAGCAGTGGCGGTTCCAGACTTTCTATTTTGGAGGGCCTCAGGGGTTGAAAGGAAGGTCTAGGGCTTTTTTTTTTTTTTTTAAGCTCTTTGATAGCAAGCATATATTTTTCCTCAGAATGTAACTTTATCTCTTCAAAAGTCAGAAGCCAGTGAAAGTTACATGGGAACAAAAGTCCCCCCCAAGGTCCCCTTTGGATCTTACCTCTAACGTTTGAAGGGCTAGACTAAGTGACCTTTCCAAGACCCTTCTGGTCCTCTGATTCTATTACCATGGACACACACTTATTGATAGCCTTTCAAGAACAAGGACATGGTAATTTTTAAGACCCCTTAAACATTTAGCCCTAAAATATAGCTGATAGGGCCCCCAGAGGGAATATTAACTTAGAGGCTCATCATTTCTATGTGTTCCCAGCCATCTGCTTTATGGAACAAGAGGTGGGGGCCAGGACATGGCGGGAAGCTCAATGTGCTGATTAGATTTAGCATTTAGCGTTTATGTTTCCCTGCTTTAGCTGTTTACTGATAATTATTTTGGTTACTTGGGAACAAATCTTATAATCCTAGGCAGGCAAAGACAGATGCAGATGGCTATGAATTACATCCAATAGGATCAGAATATAGCTCATGAATTTCAGCCTCTTACCACCATGTAATCAGCCCTGAATTTGGTGAGGTTACAGCACAACCCTTAGAGAGCGTGAGAAAGGAAAAAAAAAAAAAAAAAAAGCTGGAACTTAAAAGGAGCCAGGCTTTCTTCATTACAAAGGCCCTTTCTATGAGCGGGGAAGCACATACACCATAACCAAAATGATAGCGATGACCAGTCCAGGATTAGAAAGCTGTCTCAAGATCTTTGCCATCCAGCTTGGGAAATCATGCTCCAGGGTTTCTCCAATGACTTCGAACATCCTATTTTTACCACTGAAAAAAAAAAGGGGGGTGGGGTGGGGAAGAGAAATTTATTTACAACCTATGCAAAAACCATGAATATAGCAAGAAAACTAGAAATCTTTCTCAAACACCACCTAAGTGCTCTTTCAGGTTGGAAACCTAAGGTTTAGCCACAACTCCTGGCGCTTTGACCTCTTATTGTCAACGTGGGGGTGAGGTATGAGAAATGGTATCCCAACATGAACACACAGTTGAGCAGTTAGGAATTTAACCACAGCCTTAGGAAAAGACTTTTTAAAGCTGTATTTCTAAGATTTTGATTGAAATATATTTTATAAATAGCTCGTAAGTCTACCCCTCAGCCAGCTGTCCTTGTTGGACAGCTGTTCACTCCCTTTGGGCTGAATAAATAGTGCTTTCAATTGTTTAACTGGCCTTGGAAATGAGCATAAGGAATAGCTTAACGGAATAAGGTCCACAAATAATCCAGTATCTCTCCCATGCAATAGCTGCTATCTCATTTTCTACAGACTTCTTTCATCAGAGTTATTAATAAGTAACCACACCGAATGAGGAGTGCTTTCTGCATTTCTTGTTGACAGGCCCTAAATGACTGCTGGCTCAGTCCCACTGCTAGGAAAAGAAAATGCGTAAAGAAGGAAAATAAGCCTAAAAAGCAAAAGTCCTTAATGGGTTCGTTCTCAGCCCGTTAAGGTAAGAATCAGCTTTTATAAGCTAGAAAAATGAGAGCAGGAAGTCTGTCTTATCTTCGTACATAATATTCAGAATTATAAAGTAATACCCATCATGTCAAGCTATTTTTTTCTGTATATGCATATTGATTCTACTATGAAAAGCAGTAATTCTCAGAAAAGAAGATTAGGTTACTTATCACCAAGTCGTATGTATCATCAGAATAAAGGTTGGTATAACACTTAGTATAATAGTCTGGTTTCACTTTTGTTTTTTGATCTTCATACATTCTCACCTACTAAATAAACATGAGCCTCAAGTTCCAGATGAGATTTTTTTTTTTTTTTGCTCCTGATCTAACTAATAATATCTTTCAAAAGACTGAGAGTAACCCCAAGTACCTAGTTAAGAGTTAGTTGCTGGACTGCCGAGGTATAAGTTTTGCTTCACAAATTACAAATCTGCACCCAGCAAAACCTGTGCTGTATTAAGGGGGAATATAGCTTGCAGACCATTCAAGATTATATCGATTTATTCCCCTAAGATTTCTTTGTCTTCATCCATTCTAACTGGGCATGCTTTTCTCCTAGACATGGGGGATACAGCTAGAGTGAGAAGGTAGGCAAGGATGAGAGAAGGTAAGACCATCCACTCTCCCTTCTCCAGGTTGGGCTGAGGCTGATGCCTGTGGTTAGAATGAGGGGACTGGAATTTTACAAAATGCTCTCTACCCACAAAGGTCTTCTCTGCATCCAGTCTGTCCCAAATTCAAAGCCATTAGCATCTCTGGTGATTCTCCCCTTTCCTGGTCTGGTGTCTTACCAGGAGTCCAGCTCTCTTATTTCTATACAAACTAAAGAAGCATCTGACAAATAGTGATATATATGCAGTAATTCTGCCTAAGTTTGCCAATTAGGAAACACTTGGTCAAAATCAGTATGTCTCAGATAGAGACTAATTTTTTTTCATTAAATTCTTAGTAACTGTGTGTGATATAAAGAGAGGCAAAGGACTTAGGTTCAAAAGGCTAAAATTGCGTGGTCATGGTACATGTCTAGCTCAATGATATTTTTCATAGGAATGCCCTTGTATAACCACCATCCAGCTCCATGTGCACACGGTGGGGATTCCTTTCCTTTGATACATTTTTCCCGGAAAGATCAACTTGCAACTAGAAAGTTAAAAGTGCATCTAAAACTCAACCTGGATATTCACTTGTGTGGGTAATTTGCAATCAACTAAAAGTCTTTGAATGGCTTATCTGGTGAACTTCGTGCCCTGAGATTCATTAGAGATTTACTAAGACCAAGCTCTTCTTCAAGACTGCAATTTCCTATTTAGTCTCCAGATGTCACTGTCTGCATTATTTATTTTAGACCACATTTTGGGGGGGGGGGTGAGAGATCAGGATTTGTCAACATCAGCTTCCTGAATACGACAAAACTCCAGTAGTTTCTGCCCTATCAGCTGGCTTAACATTTTCTTTCTTTCTTTTTTTCCCAGTAAAGCAATAATAACTCAGACTATTATTAGAGTACAAATGCATCTTTTATACTTGTCTGTGAGCAATGAAACTTGACTTTAATAACTTGCATCTGACAGCATGACGAGGAAATTATACGCGGCCATTATCGGCTCATGCTTGTATTCACGTGGCTTTTCATGTTCACATTTCTTTCACTTGGAAAGGAGAAATAAGTCAAATGCATGCTGACCAATGACTCAACAGGCAGGGATTCTTGGGGGGGGACTTGTGGTAGATTCTTTTTTCTTTTTCTTTCTCTCTTTCTTCTTTTTTTTTTTTTTTTTTAGAGAGAGGAGGGCAGAGGGAGAGGGAGAGAAAGAATCTAAAGCAGGCTCCACACCCAGAGCGGAGCCTGAAGCACGCAGGGCTCTATTTCATGACCCTGAGGTCACGACCTGAGCCAAATTCAAGAGTCAGACACTTAACCAACTGAGCCACCCAGGTGCCCCATGGTAGATTCATTTCTAAGGCCCTATTTAGGGAATGAAATCTCAATTCCCCAGATCCCAGGGACTTTGCTTTCTTGCTAAGTGTCACAGACCGAACTTGGTCATAGACAGCTGGAGAAAAGTACATTTCAGCTTGGATCAGAGAGACTTCTTAACTCTTTATTACTGACTGGAGCGAAATTATCCTTGTTATTTTGGGAGACTACACATGCTGAACATCATCCTCAGTTGTTTTACTAGCATGTAGCATTGTGGATTATAAAATGTGTGACCCACTTTATATTCATAACAATCTAATATTGATCCCATTTCTACATAGGTTGTGGAATAATCTACTTTTAATTAATTATTTTCTATTGGGCAAAACATGGCAATAGCTTCTGATTTTTGGACGTGGAGCCTAACATCAGGAAAACTTTCACATCCCCATTAGCATAATCAAACCTTGCTCTTTGCTACCTCTTATGGCTCAAATTTATGGTCCATATTTTACCCAGGTAGAGCCCAGGTGCACTCAAATCATTTTCCCTTTTATGATTCCCAAATAAGAAAATCGATGGAACTTCCCTAAGAATCTCCATGTTACCTAATGAGACTGAATGCCCAAAGAACCACATTTCTACAGACCAAAATGCCATTGTTTGGGAGGGGGACCCACAAAACTCATAGGAGTGACTATTCCTATCTCCACGCCTGGAAGAAAATGACACCCAGGTGGAATGTCAAAGGCCAGAACCTGAACGGGCCACAATCAAAAGATGGCGGGAGCGATACAATCATGTACAGGACGGGCATGGTGGACAGGAAGAGGATGAGCAGTAGCATGCCCAGGTAGAAGTTATTTGATCTGGAAGCTTTGAACACCCTGGCCTCAGGAACGTTGCAACACATCACGGCCCAACACTGGAAGTACATGGAGGTGTGGAGTCGAAGGATATTGATTCCTGGGAGGCTGGGGGCGAAGAAGGAGCCCATCCTGGAAGGAAAAACAGGGCTCTGCTCAATTCCAGTCTTCTCTTCATAACAAAGTCATACAGCACCTGTTGATTTCACATCATGCTTATTTGCTAAAGGCAGAAAATGTAGGGCCGCTTTCAGTCCACAAACGCTTTTTTATAAATAAACTTGACTGGCCAATTTCCATCTTCTGTGCACATTTTATCATCTCCCCCATTATCCAGGAATTGCCTACGTGATTCGCTCATAGCAATTATGCTGTTCACTAACTATATCTGCTCTCATTAATAACTTTAAACTATACCAGAGAAAACAATGTATCACATGTATTAACTTCTCTCTTCTACTTCTCAGATAAACTTGATTCCCCTAATACTCAAATCATTCATTAATAAATCCGGATATTTAACTTCTCTTTAATAAGTGCCCCTGAAAGCACTCATTCTATTCAAATAAACTGCACACCTGGATTAATTACTTTTCTCGTGGCTAATTAATTTTTGCTTAATGGAAGAGAAAAAAATTAAAATAAGCTTATCTTTTTCTGATGCTATTCTTTATTAGCTATGTAGCTATTATGGTGTTTTAGAGCTGATGTATTTATGCCCAATAATAGTGTTTTCTTAATAGTCTATAGGAAGCTTTATGTGTTTGAGATGAAAATTCAACACATACATTTAATTTAATTTAATTTAATCTGCTTACTTGCTTACTTCAGCTTGTCCTGGAAATTCACTGCTTTGTACATCTGATTTTTAAAAACTATCTTTAAATGCCACTTTTAAACAGGAAGCACTTAGGTGAGGTCACTTTTACTTGCTGGCTTAGTTGGTAATTTCAACAAAATAAATTTCAATTTTCTTTGATGAGAAAATCCATTAGCATCATAAAACCATATTAATAGCAATGTATTGGTCCAAAACCAAAAAGAGGATACATGTGCACTTATTTTAGAAGTATAAGCACAGTCCTATCTTTTAAACTGTCCCAGCTGTAATAAAGCCCTCAGCACTTCTGGTTAGGGTCAGCATTTTATATTACCTGGGTATGTAGAGTAGCTATTTTAACTAATCCAACACAAATTTGGTATAATACAGGGTGGTGGGGGGGGCAAGGGGTGAGTTAGATGAAGAAATTAGTTTCTGCTATTTCCGTAATGGAAATTATGCAAACCAGCATTAAAGGATTTCATTTAAAAGTGGAATCTTGCCAAAATTTAGATCATCTTGCTGGTAGGACTTCACGCAACGGATCTGAATGATATTTTAACATACCGAATGGACCAGAGACTCTGAAGGAAGCTAAATGATTTTTTTTTTAATGGCATGAACTTCAGGTGATGATCTAGCCACGTAGGTTCATCAACTGTAACACATGTCCCACTGTGATTTGGGAAGCCGATTGTAGGGGAGGCTATGCATGTTGGGGCATGGGGATATTTGGGAACGCTCTGTACTCTCCACTCAGTTTTTCTGTGAACGCAACACTGCTCTAAAATAGAAATTTTATGAACTAAAAAAAAAGTAAGATGATAGACTTTGGAACACCACATGGTATCTTTGTTACAGGATAGCAAGAGAGATCCCAGAGCCTCAAGAACGTGAGCAAGTGAGTGAGTGACAGGCCCAGGTTAGGGGCCAGAATTACATAGCGCTATAGTACATTCTCAAATGCCAATATTAGTAATGTGAGATGTTGGTGAATCGTTATATTTGCTCCCTTCTAAAGGTCAGGCTTGGCCATGTGATTTGTTTTGGCCAATGAAATGGTCATTAAAATGAGGTGTCTCGCTACTGGATGGAGACATTAAAAGCCCTGTGTGGATTCTATTCTCATCTCTCTGCTACCTTGACCGGTGATGTTCCAGATGGACCCTATTTTGCCAGTCTAGGAATCCACGGTGAGAGTAACTTGCAAGAGCAGAGCCCTCTACCAACCCACACTGGGCATGTAGAGAAAACAAGAAGTAAACGTTTCCCTTTGGAAGCCACTAAGATTTGGGGGTTCTGGTGAACTGCTGCACAAGCTAGTTTCTCCTCAGACACAATTCTGTACATCATGTGAGACCTAGTCTTGCCTAAAGCCACATATATTCGGACCTCTATGTATCCCTGCATCATTCATCTGTATACATGTATGTGTATACACGTATGTATTGTCTCTATAAATAAATTTCAGATTTTCAAAATAAATATTGAACAAATGGCTCAAGAAACCATTACCTAGAAAAACAGATCCCGGCACACTGATATCTGCACCTTAACGCTCATCCTGTCTTTGCTCGTGACTCACTAATCAGCTCGGCTCACTAAGTCCCTTCCCCAAACTTGAGCCCATCATCTGTCAGTTAAAGATCATTGTAATACCTTCGCCTTATAAAGTGCTTTTCTTCCAAGAAGATCAAAGCAAACGAAAGCTTCTTTTATTGAGCTCTCCTTATTACTCCAGCGACATGGTACATGTCGGGTAAATTATTCACATTTGATCAACCAAGAAAATGAGGTAGCAGACGGTGACAACTCTAATGTAAGGGTATACAAAGAGGCAGTGCTGGAGCAATGTCCAAACCCATCTTCTCTCTCACCGTGTTCTCTGCTGCCTCTATACCCTGCTATGAGAGAGATGGGATGGGCCTTCATCATTTTAAAATACGATTGAAAAACCTATGCCGTCCATTTTTCAATTAAGTGTGTCATATAAAGGTTTACTGGTCATTTCACCCACTTCATGACAAAATGGATTTTACCTATAAAGTTTCACTTTAACAGCATCAGTGTAAATAACCTCCATTAATTAGAAACCCCTAAAGCAATAACTGAATGTCTCCAGTCACAAACCAATGGAATTGAGTGCAAACTTCCCATACTCTTGTGTTTCTGTATGGCCCAACTCAAGCATCGATTCCTCGTGCCTCGTAAAATAGTAGCTTACCAGGTGTGAGTACCCTGTGGCAGGGGAGCCTGCTGCACTTAGAATACACACTCCCCACACCTCGCCCACCACACCGCATCCCCATTCTTCACTAGCTTCCTGGGAGTTTGGAAAAGACCATCTGTACCAAGGGTGGACCCGAAGGTCAAAATAATAGTTCTTTTGCCTCTGAAACTCTGGTAAGTGTATGATTATCTCTGTACACTCAAAAAAACACCTTCACTTTCTAATAGCTTCTTCAGACTAACAAGAAGCAAGACTTGACCAATATCTACAGGATGAACACCTAGAAAGAGACAGTGCAGTGATAGTGGAGAGATTTCGATAATGGGTCTGCCCATGAGAGAACAGGGGAAGAAATGGAAATATTTAAGAATCTCAACATGAACAATAGTGGACCAAAGAGCTGCAAAATTCTAAGTGAAACCCATCAGGACATCCATTACAACAGCTTTTCCGATCATGAAAATGAATTTCTAGGCCAATCTGTTGTCTTAGCTAGGAAAGAACAAGACATAGACCCACAGCAGATGTCTGCACAAACGTCAGCCACCAGGCCTGAGGGATGTGTGGCTCGCTGTAAGGGCCAGGGAGTTTTAAAGCTGATACAAGGTGATGGTTTCTCATTGTTCCACATGCCATGTTAGCCATTTTCTGCTGTGACCACAGAATCCCCTCTAGAAAAGGAAAGATCCAGAACTCAAAGAAGCTGCTCCCTTTACTCTCTCTGCTGATGGTCCTAGGTTGGGCCACCCTGACTTTCCTCCCTGCTTGGAGAATGAAAGATGCATTTCACTCTTTAATGACTCTCTGGACACATGAGCCATAGCTTGCAAAATTTAGGAAGTGAGAGGGCAGGAATTAAATTTTTAAACATACCTGATAATGGAGAAGATCATCTTTTTAGAGCCTTTCCTTCATATGTATTGACCTGGGGAGGCACAGGAATTTGACAGGCCCCATTGCAGGACGATGGGGCCCTTGGCTATGGTCTTTATATTACTGAAGCAAGATAATTTTAACATTTGCAGAGAGGTCCAGTCTTGCAATGGTTTAATAATTCAATCCAGCTATGATTGAGGGATTTAAGTAATATATGAAGCTTGTGCAAAACTTGTAGTTACTGGTCCTTGTACATAGGACAATGGTATGGTCAGTGGCACAGTGCAACATTAAGCATGTGTCGGTAGGATAAAGAGGCTCAATTGTAACTGCTTGTGGGTTGGGTGTTCTTAGTTAAGACTGACGGATTTCCAAGACCACATGGTTCCCAGATGAATCACACGCTGTGATTCAATTTTTAAACTCCAAAACAGTTCTACTGTATCCGCTCGTCTTAACCTGTCAAGGTTGACAGTGAGAATGCTTTCATTTAATAAAAGATATGACAGTCCTTTGTACATCAAAAGACATAATTCTGATGTGCAAATGGCCTGTGAAACAAGTTACAAAATAAAGATCGTATTTTTAGCTTGACCTTCCTAAAACATGTGTTTCATCTCTATGAACTACTGGATTTGGTAAAATATTATTTTTAAAAGTAGCAACGAGTTGTCTTCTAAATATACTCAATAATGACAACATAAAATCAGTTTCTCAGAGGGGCCTTACATTAATTTGTTTCATACTTAACATGCGGTTATGGGATCATTAATGTTTCACTGTTAGACCCTGGCGTCAGAGGATATAAAAGTAGAAAAAGCCTTCAAATAATCTACAAAGTAAAAATAGACTCCCAGTATTTGACAAAGGAAATCTCTGCAAAACAGGCAGATGCCTTTGAGGACCAAAATTTAAGATATGAAAAAAAATACATATATAATATATATATATACTGTATTATACAGTGTATATAATATGTAAAATATATATTCTATATATTCCAAGACATATATATATACACAATATATATACAATAATATATATAGTATACTATATATTATATAGCATACATATATATATATATATATATTAGCTTTTCCTAGCAATCCACTTTGCAAAGGCAATTGCTGAGTTAGCCCCAGGCTGTGGACTTCTCAGACACCAGGCTACAGTGCTTTATGCAATAACGATCTTTGAGGCTTTTCTACAAGTGATACACTGTCCAACAGCTGACCTACCAGATCATGCCTTGGTTGAAGATCAGAGCGAGGACATTGCCGCTGATGTCAAATTCAGTGTATGAGGGCTATGGAAGACACAGATATTCACTGGATTAGCATATCAACTGGTGAAAACTGAAAGCCAAGTGTTCCATCTTTCTGCATAGGTATGGCTAGGCTCTCAACTCCTTCCTTGCAGCAACAATTGCAGAGTAATCGATATAATAAATAATTAGCGATAAATAAAACAATAAAGCACGCTTTCTAACACAGCAAGGCTCATTTTCTAAAGCAGTCATTCAATGTTGTGAAAATGTGGACAAGCAGGCTCTCTTTACATGGCTGGGGAAAGAGAAAATTGGAGCAATGTTTTAGAAAACTGTTTGACCGTATAGATTAAAAGCTTAAAAAAAAAACAAAAAAACTCATTCTCTTTAACCCTGTAAGTCTACCTCTAGGAATTTGTTTTAACAAATTGATCTTAAATGTTGACAAATTTTAACAGAGATTAAACCACCAAAATGTCCAATATTGGTTAAGTAAACATAGTATATCTATACCATAATATATATTACACCTAATTACAATCACTGTTTGGAGAATATTTACATATACAGATAAAACTATGACTTGATGTTAAACAACAAAAATATAAAATTAGACAATCACTATTTTTATCAATGGAATATGAAATGACGCATAAGGAAAAGACTTGAAAATGACCAACAAAATTACTAGGTGTTATAAGTAGGCGATGGAATATGACTTTTGTTTTCTTCCTTACATTTGCATATTTTAAAATATTTTTCAAAAAAATGTGAATTTCTTTTACAATAAAATAAATATAGAGAAATACAGGACAAGTTTGAGAAGTTATTCAACTCAATATCCAGTGTTTATCTCCTAGGTAATACCATCCTGCTTAGAGCAGCAACATGAGCCTGTCTTTTTTGGGCAGAGGGGCACCGGTGGGCATCTGTCCCAGGGTGGCCTGTCCAAAGGCTTCCTTGTGACACATCGGGCAGCTTGGAAGGAAAGTTTCTATCAGTGGGAGTAATGCTACTTAGCAACCACAATGGAACTGGCTCCTGTTTAAATTGAGATAGAGAACAATCAGTCAGGAAACTAACTGGTAGGTCACAAGAGAAAAGGAGAAAAGCAAAATATGTGGACGAAGAGCATCAAGACCACGAAAGAGAGACCAAAAGAGGGGCAGGTCCCTAATCCTGTCCCAGATCCTGGCATCTGCAGGTGTTGCTTCACGCCATATGGGTCCTGGTAATTACTCCCTCCTCAACACACCTACACAAACACAAGGAGGATGATCTGAGAGTGCCACTGTTCTCAAACCCAAGACCCCTCCCCCGCAAGAAAAAATATGTGCAAGAAGATGGAACAGTTCTCTGGTTTGGAACCCCGATAAAACCTTCACAGCTTTTGGACTCTTTGCCTCAAGAGTTCTTGAAGTCAGGCCTCAATGTCATCATTTTCCCAAAAGGTAGCAGTACTTTGGGGAAGGATAAGGGTCATGTGCCTTGTAACAGATTCAGGGCATGAGCAGCAAGAATGGTTCGATAACAAGATAAAATGATGAGATGATACATAGTGAAAGAATACATAGCCCTGTTATATTAAGCAGGACAAAAATGACCTAGATGATATACGTTGTGTTTTGCTGGCTTTCCAATGATCTAGAAGCCGAACATTCACAGGATGCGAAGAGGTATGGTTGGCAGTTTTTGTTCTAAAATCACCAACGAAAGCAATGTGTGCCTCATGGAGAAAAATAAACTGCTTCTAATCTCTAGAAACGTTAATTCGGAGTCTTTCTCCCGCCACAGGAGGGCTTTGCTCCGGACCACCTCTTCTCTTCCCCTGAAGCCTTGTGAGCTCACAGAACACATATGACGAATGCTCAGCTGGGTGGCCTGTACCAACTGTGGTCTTGGAACAGCTTTTCTCGGTGTCAGATCAAGAGTCAAACCTTCATCTTTGGGCTCTTTAGAACGGTGCCGTGATTTAACCCACCAATCTATGTAAAATTAAAAAAAAACTCAACCTTTTAGAAGTATATTTTCTTTCCTCTCACAAACATACAAGCTTCTTAAAAGCCATTTGAGATATTTTTATAACTAGGTGACTAGAAAAACACCAAAGACACACTGGGAACCCTTGTTCTCATAGTGTGTTTGCAGCAGGGGCAGCCGAAGGAAAATAATTTTTTAAAAAGATTTTATTTATTTATTTGAGAAAGAGCACACATGAGCACAAGTGGGGGGAGGCAGACGGAGAGAGGGAGAGGGAGAAGCAGGCTCCCCACTGAGCAGGGAGCCCGATGCAGGACTCTATCCCAGGACCCCGGGATCATGACCTGAGCTGAAGGCAGACGCTCAACTGACTGAGCCACCCAGGCGTCCCAGGAATATAATTTTTGATGCACAAATGGACCCAATGCAGAAAATGGGTATAGGGCATCCCTAGTGTACCAAATGGGTTTTTGGTCCAGACACCTGTCAGGGATTCACACCGGAGTATTGGACTTTGCCTTGCCACGTTCTGGTTGGGTGAGCTGGACCAGTTGCTTATCTTGTCACAGATAAACTGAGGAAATGAACTAGGTCAGTGGTTGTCACACTATGGCCCATGAGCCAAATCTGGACTGCCACCTGTTTGTATAAATAAAGACTTATTAGAATACAGCTGCATGCATTTGTGTATGTATTCTCTGTGGCTGTTCGGCACTAAAACAGGAAAGTTTAATGGTTGGCACAGAGACCATATGGCCTGCTGAACGCAAACCCCTTGTTCTCTACACTCTGCTCACAGTACTTCTGACACAGATGTGTGGGTTTTACCCCCATATCAAACAATGCCCCAGTCCTCTGTGGACCTAAGCTGGATGCCCTACCATTTCACTCTGTTCTGATACTGACTGTCCAGAGTTAGAGCAGACCCCGCAGGTTAAGAACTCAGTCGCACAAGACTGCCCCACTTCAGACAACAATCACAAGTTTGGGGTGCCACCTATGCTGAGTGGCTGGCTATACATCAGAGAATCCTACGACTCCCTCTTCAGGTTTGATAATTTGCTAGAATAGCTCACAGAACTCTAGAAAACACTTGATTTACTAGGCTACTGGTTTATTTAAAAAATGCAAGATACGAATAGACAGATGGAAGAGATGCATAGGGCAAGGTATGAGGAAAAGGGTCCTTTTCCATGTCCTTTCCCAGCACACCACCCTCCAGCACCTCAACATGTTCAGCGACCTGGTTCAGTGAACCCCATAGGTCAGGGAGTCTTATGGACACTTCATCAGTAAGCATAATCAATAACTAACTCAGTCTCCAGCCCCTCTCCCCTCCCTGGAGGATGGGGGAATGGGGCTGAAAGTTTCAAGTTTCTAATCATGTCTTGCTCTTTCTGGTGACCATTCCGCCATCCTGAAGCTATTCAGAAGCCACCAAGCATTGCCTCATTAGAATAAGCAATGTTCCTATCACCCAGGAAAACCCAAGGAATGTAGGCCTTCTGTATCAGGAACCAGGGTCAAAGAGCAAATATTAGAACAAAAGATGATCCTAGCACCTGTATTGCTTAGACGGTTATAAAAAGATTTAGGAACTCTGGCCAGGAGCTGGAAATGGAGACCAAAATATATATTTCTTATTATATCATAATATCACACCTGCAGAAGTGAAACTGCTAACTATCTAGCCTTTTACAGAGAAAGTCTGCCAACTTCTGAACTAGATCATTTCTAAGATCCTTTTCTAATCTAAAATCTGTAATTGGTTGAAAAATTAGACCCAGTTATTAACGAATTGCTTCTCTGTAAACACTTTAGAAACGCAATTGAATACGGTATGAGTTGAACTCAGAAAATCTCCCTCTAAAAATAAAACAGAAGTAGGAAAGCAAACACACACACACACACTATAAAATTCAATGCTCATTCTTTTGGAGATGGATTTAGTAAAAACATATGAGATTATATTGTATTTTAAAGATTTAAAAGCAATACTTTAATAATACAAGTATAAATCATTTTGCAATACGTTTGCTTAATTGCCTCTAAAACATAAAAAAAGCTTAAAGGTAAATGAGACTTGGGAAAAAATAGGTTTTCTTGAAAACTGAGAAATGAAATGATTCAAATGGGATGCATATAACACTAAGAGTCACTCATCCCTAATAAGCTTTTTAGGCACCAGCAAAAGAAGATCCCATTTGGATATAGGCTGAGGTCTATAATAACTTACTAATAGGCAAGGGATTGAAAATTATCTCGTTTTATTTCTAGGCCTTTGTTTGTGGTGGGTGAGAGTCAGTCATCTACCCATAGGGAAGACAGAAGGTTGTTGTTGGACTGAAATGCCCAGGAAAACCCATCTGCTCTCTGCAAGTTTTGTTATTTGGGAAAGATCATTAACCTTTGGATATCGTGAAATATCTCAGAGAGAATTCTGTCATTGCAACATCCTGTCTGACATACAAATCTCACTCCCCACACCTGAAATCACCCTTGGTGAATGGTTCTCAAGCATGGTCCCCATACCAGAAGCCGCATCATCACCTGGGAACTTAGAACGGGACCTGCCCCAGCTCCAATGGAATCAGAAACACTGTTTTCACATGCCTTCAGGGGATTCTGGTCTATCCTCAAATTTGAGAACCACTGATCTAGGACAAATCCTAGCTTCATCCACTAGGATGACTCAGCGACTCGGGTCTTTGCACTTCACCCCTTGTTGCCTGCAGACAGACTCCAACCAATATTCAAGTGGAACTTCAAGTCCAGACTGTGCTGTCCCTTTCCCCAAGTTGTCAATCCTTCAGGGACTACTCAAGACTTCTTACTGACCCTTTAGCATGGCATCTTCCTGCACTGCTAAGTAATATCTCATTCCCAGCTGGAGAACATCTGTTTACTTCTAATTCTGTATCACAGCCGCTCCTGTAACTCCATTCTATTGCAAGTGACCTATCTAATCTTGGGGTGCTTTGAGTTACAAACACCATAGATTGGCTCATGAATTAGTCATGATTTGACAGAGTCCTTGAAATTTCTAGGGTTAAGCATCA